TCAGCGGAGATCTATTTATATCGAACTCGCATGCATCGCGTGAATATCGACTCGAACCAACCTCAGACGGGGCTTTCGGAAACGTGTGATTGCGGTAATCGGTGTGAGGGCAAAACTGTGTCTGCTTCGAGTTTACTTCGGTAAATTCTTATATTTGTCGTACTTAAGCAGCGAGGATAACACTGTCATGAAACGATTGTGCGTGGCGTTAGAGGCCAGCGGTCGGCCATCCCATCGTCACGTCGCAACTTCTTCGTATTCGGGAGGTCTCGGGTTCAAATCTCGGCCCAGAGATCGGCTATCCTAACTGGGATTTTTAGTGGTTTTACTCAGTCACACCAGAAAGAAAAGCCTAGTACTGCCAGAATAACAGTTCGTATCCCGGTCAGATTAAAGGTACAGAACCCTGTCGCCTTCCCTTACACGTACCTCGTAGTAGTGGAGAGGCAGCTTGTGTGTCACCACCTCGGAGATGACGTAAGCGATGCAGATCACCACCAGCAGCTTCGCGTAGATGAAGCTCATGATGATGAACAGCGATGTCCTGGAACACAAACAAGCGGAACTACATCCTTTGCATCCACACAGTCTCGGATGTTTTTTTAAGAGAATGCATCATCGAGGGGGCTCTGGAAATATAACCAGAGAAGTGCAGTATTGCAACATCAACTTGCAAGTCTCAAGATTACAGTCGCGTACTGTTAATGCACGCATTTTATTAAGGCTTTGACCGGGATGTTCTTTTGTTAAATCTCATGTGGTACCGCCTGATTCGACTTCTAATGTTTAAGTGAAGTGTTTTCTTCGCGGTACGGTCTGGATTCGTAAATATTATGAAGACGAGCTTCGGCTTCAAAGGGTTAACCAGCTGATTTTCGTAATGGTGAGGTGAAGTGTTTTCTTCGCGGTACGGACTGAATTCATAAATATTATGAAGACGATCTTCGGCTTCAAAGGGTTAATAATACGTCATCCACGACAGAAAACATACGACATTCTCTACGAGGCGGTCGGCGTGCCACGGCGCCCTGAGGCCTGCACCGTCCAAGTTAACTGAAGACGCAGGGCATCCTCGTTGTCAGTGAACGAGCATAGCAACTGTTTCTTCTACGAAAATGTTGAGGCGTCATAAGGTCCCGAGACTTTCCGCCCGAAACGCAGACATACGAAATACGTCCTCATCGTCATCGAACCACGGGCGCCGCCTCGCAGTTGCAATCGGCGTTCGAAGCCTCCGTCCCATTTCACGACAGACGACATCGGCCGTCTTCACAGCTGCTTCAAGTCTTGCCACGAGATCCTCGATAATCCTCAGACAGACCTCGGAAACGTGTTCCTCCTTCTCGTGTCCCCACAGGAAAAGAGGTCATTCAATCAGCCCTCCACGCCCAATCCCCCTTCCTGCACACGTCACGCCTTCCCCGCCGTGCACTGCGTGCTAACAGAATTACTTCAAACGAAAGGCACAACTTAACAAGAGGGAGTTTCCATAGAGCTTTGAAAGGTCGTGACTTCCGTGGGCCCTGTTTGGAGCTCCTGAGGGCCGCGGGATCCATTTTATATTTGCGTTAATATTCACGGCAGTTGCTGAAAATGCCTTCTGCTTCGTAGGCCGTAAGCCCTCGTTTTCAAATCGTTGCGTGCAGACGACGCTTAACAAATGCAGAAACAGCGTCTGGCTCTGTACCCAAGAGACAATGGGTTCTACTCTCGGCTACATAACTAAGACTGTTCGTGGTTTTCCTCACATCTCTCAAACGCCCTCTCATTCGTTGAGAAGGCGTCGTCCAGTAGAACGGGACCAGCCTTCAAAGAATGACGTAGGATCACGGAGGTACTCAATGACCGTACATCACGAATGATAACAAATCCCAGCGCACGAGACGCGATCTGAGCCAGTTCCTCGTACACGTCCCGTCCTCGCGTTTTCCAGGAGATTTAACAGCCATCAGCTTTACCGGCCTCCCCCATCCAAGCTGCAGCTCAGGCTCGTAGGTCGCACACAGGGCGAGATGAAATCTGAGAGTGCGTCTTTATGGAGCGTCTTGTTTCATCCTCTCAGGTCCGAATAACATCCTGGGCACTTTCGCGTTTTCACTTCGCAGTCAAACAAATAACCCCCCCCCCCCTCCCCCAC